TTAGTATGCTTTGCTTCCTTCATTACTGATGTTATCTGAAAATTTAGAAATATTAAATTCATTTATTCTGCTTTTCTTGTCATAGTTCATAGATCATTTTCCTAGACTATTACTTTTTAAAATTGGTTGGTCTTTAAATAATTTTAGCTTATATATGTAGAGCTGTTTTGAGTTCCAAATACCTGCAGATGGAGTTTATTATAACCAGGGATAATTGGACCTTAATACCTGTAAAACATCCGCTAGAGACATGAATAGGCCTTTTTTCTTTTCTGGCAGATGTTTTGCAGATTCTAGACTCATATCCAATTATCTGTGAGTACTTCAGCAGTTCACAATAGCATTCATTTGAAGATGACTATATTATTCTTTTCTCTCCTTCCTTATGTTATGAAATGAAAGAGATAACGTACCCTTCTTGGAAGGGCAGAGAGGTATTTTAATGAAAGCTTGAAGAGACTTCCTAAAACTATTCTTACTGATGCCCGCTAGCCAGTCTTGTCTTTCAGCATCAAAGCCTTAGCTTAACATTTTCCTCAGCGTAAAATTAAGCAGCAGGGAGTTCTGCACGTATTTCCCAGGGGAGTGCAGAGATGCTTAGATTGGAATCATCAACTTGAATATTTTGGTGAGAATTTTTAAAGGAGTTCAGCTCTCCTCAAGATGGAATTGTCAATATTTACCTAGTACTAATGCTGTGAGAATAGGGAGCAGCCTAACCACATCTCTCATCCTTATTGGTAGAGAGGGAGAGCTGGAAATTTTGGCTACATGCTGGAAATTCAATCTGGAGTTCTTTCTTGCATTACCCTTGGTATGATTATATGATTCAGGACCAAACTGTGTGTAAGCAGATGGGCAGAAAAATCTATGAATAGATGTTCAAGAAATGAATAGAATAAAGGACCATTGAGGTTTTTTATGAATACAACAGGTTTTTTTCCTGCTGTAACTCATTTTATTTGGTCAGAAAGGAAAACAAAAGATTGATTTATTAGTTGTAAAGCTTAACAATTAAACTGCCTCAAAATGTCTTCCTGATAAATCCTTCCAAATTCAGTAAATGATCTTTTATCTGGAAGATGTCATTGGAATTGGTAGGTTTAAGATATAATAGAAGCAGAACTCAGCAGTATCAAAACAATATATGCAATGTATGTAATATTATTTTTAAACTCAGTATATATTTTTCCTAATACATACCTGCTTTTATAGCTCACCACCATCCAGTTTATTATTTCTTTTTGGATGTTATGTTTTCTTATGTTACTTCACTGAAGGCTGAGAATGAGACGTGTCAGACAGGAAGTAACAGTATACAAGGAAACAAAAAGCTATCTGCCTTTTTTCTAAAGATGGAATTGTGACCGGAAAAGTAAAAGATATCATGACAACCTGATATATTTCAAATCTGCAGATTCTGCATGTGTTTCTCATGCCATGTAACCCTGGGAAAAAGATGACCAACAAATTAACAAGAGTTAAGGATTTGCGTCTTTCTTTAAAGTGACTCATTTAATTGGGCCTGTTTTTCTGTGAACACAGCTACTAACAAACTCCATCCACGTACCACTAATCTCCCTGGAAAATACCTTTTTAAAGCAAATGAAGTAGATCTAGTAGTACTTAAAATCTAGGATCGCGTAGTGAGTAGAAACAGCCATTCAACAGGTAGTGCCCCACTGCTAACTTCCTGTCACGCAACAGCTTTTCCACTGGCCCTGCATGTGTCACTGAAAGGGCCAAGTCTTTTTTCCACACAGTATTTGGGAAAATGCCCAGCTTTTGTTATTGGCAGATTCAGGTGGAAAGTAACAATGTACAAATTGAATGTAATAAATTCCATTTGCTGGAAAATATCTTTTATAGTTTTATATCTGGAGAACCAGAGGACTGTCTCTGGCAGGATGAGGCATTTGTAGCGTCAATGCAGGGAAGGACCAAAGTTATACCAACAGTAACAGAGACAGAACCTGATGTAAACTTGCAACAAAAATATTGAAATAATAATAAAAAGCAGAACACCCTAAATTAAAGGTGAATAAGTATGAAGTTTTTCAAGCTGTGTGCAGGATAGAACAGTCTGTTAGCTCGGTAAACTAATTATTTGTTTCTTAACATGTTCAATAACTAGAAGAGCCTCAGTATTTCAGGAAGGGAAGGGAATTTCAAGTGTTGCACTCTTCTATCATGTAACATTTACTGTCTTTAGCTGTCTTTGGACTGTGGAGGAAGCAAGACAAGACTAATTGAAGAAATGAAAGATAGGGAGGAAGGCTCCCATACAATTAGGCAGTTTCAGAAAATCATTACTAAGTATCAAAATGCATTATTTTCTGTTGAGAACAAAACAATCCCCATTTCCTGAGAAAGTCTTTAATTTTATTTTTTGTTACATATTTTTTAAAGAACTGATACTGTAGAACAAATCAGTTCTAACTCTTCTTGGCCAAACTAAGAATGCAGTGCATGATCATTGGAAGTCATTCTGCTTTTCTTATTTCTAAATATAGCATCACTTGGTCAACGCAGCAATTTATGCTGTATTTTTCTTCATGAGATAACTCAAAGCTCCTAGGTTCTTATAATTAAAAATGTATGTCTGAGCATACTTTTTTGTATTACAAAGTGTCATCAGTATGATTGTGGAATCATGGTTACTGTTTGTTTAATTACAGAGGATAGGCCTGCTGACAGATAGCATTAATCTTGGCTCTTTTTCAGACCTCTCATGGTTTGGACTCTGAAAAGTAATGTGCAATCAATACAAAGATTGACATCTATGAAATACTTCATTTCACAAAAAATCAGTATAGAAGAATGTAGATGATTTTGTTTATGATGCTGTCCAAACAGACGAGCGAAGCTAAATATTATCTGAAGCTGTTAGTTCAAATTATGTTTTTATTTTCTTCTTGATGAAGCAAAAAAGCAAGTATAACTGGCAAAGAATCTGTAACCACTGATGTAAGCTATTTGTTGCTGTGAATTTAAGCTCCGTTTCTTAAGAAGTTCTGGATACATCAAAGGCAATGTTTTGCATTGCAGGTCTTTTTCTCCTTTCACTGTTGAATCTTAATTAGAAGATACTGTCCTTGTTTTAACTTGGTTGATGTTGCCTATCAAAGGTAATTTTTTATAAATGGAAAGGTTAAGAAAACGTGTTTCACAAGCAAGTTCTTAAAATCTGTTTTCATTAGTTTATTTTCTGTCAATTTCAGCAACTTTGAAAGAAGAGCAGGGTTGCCTCTTGAATCCTTGATGCTGATTATATGTTCAAAATCTGTTCTCTCTGAATGAGACTGCTCTGTTTACAGAATTTGGTTTTCAGTTTTCTACCATTAGACTGCTTTAGGTTTTCTGCTAGACCCATGAAAAACAGAAGGAAGGAGTGACATATACACAAAAGTGGAATTGCCTTCAAACTTCTGTAAGAATACAACTACCAAAATACTTCAAAACCTACTGTATTTGGAATAGATTTCTATGGTTGTTTCAATGTTTTCACGGAATATTGTGTTTGCATCTTCAAACTTGCAGGCCTTCTGCTACTGCTGTGCACCTGTGTTTTGTGTGGATTATCAAAAACTAATCAAAAACTAATACTATGTGGTACAGGTTTTATAAATTCTGAGTTATCACAGAGTGCATAATCTGCAAAAGTGCTTGAAATCAAGTCATACTCTTGAATGGTGCTTAGTGTAATTTTGATTTTTGTCTATAGATAGGAATGTGAAGTTCACTCAAATCTGTTTATTATTTTATCTGACTTTTGCAGAGGAAAATGGTCATTAATTGTTCAGAGCTCGTCTTTCTTTTTTCAATTTTCAACAACAAAAACCTTTAATAGGTTAAAACTTTTTCTGTTTTTGTTTTTGTTTTTTGTGAACTTATTTATGTTCTCCACTGTTCGGTACTCTGTATCAACTCTAAAGTATGTAAGTTAGCTCAACTGCTGTATAAAGAACTTAAATTCAGATTCTGTCCATGTGTTTTATGACTGGGAAAACTAATACTGTTTTATGTTTCTTTTTTGTTTCTTTTTTTTCTGTGGTGTTTGTTGTTGTTATTTGTTGGTTTGTTTTTTTTTTTTTCCATAAAGAGCAATGGCTTCTGAATCTATTATTGTTGTGTCTTGTGAGTGCCACACTAATTGTGGCCATCTTCTATTGTATTTAAGCTTCCTTGGGAAAAATGAGTGACCTTGTTTTACAAGTAAATCTAAATGGATTTGAACAACAGTTCAGCATCAGCCAAAAAAAAAAATTATTGACTATTAGAATGGTTTGTGTTGGAAGGGACCTTTAAGTTCATCTAGTTCCAATCCCCCCCCTCTGCTGTAGGCAGGGATGCCTCCCTCTAGACCAGGTTGCTCACAGCTCCATCCAGCCTGGCCTTGAGCATGTCCAGAGTGGGGACATCCACAGCCTCTCTGGGCAACCTGTTCCAGTGTCTCACCATCATCGCAGTAAAGAATTTCTTTCTAATATCTGATCTAAATCTGCCATCTTCCAGTTTAAAGCTGCTGAAACACAACCAGTGAAGTTGTAAACTACACTGTATACAGAGCAAATATCATGAGCTACTCTATGCTGAATTTCTCTCTTGGCCGCTGTTTGGGGAATGGCTGAGCATTACTTGGCAGGTGATGATCATTTGCAATACAGGTGTACGTATATATATTTAGAAAGAGAGTTATTATCACATTTTTGCTTCTTATTTCCTTTTCTGTCTTAGTAAATAGCTTGTATCTCAACCCATGAGTCTTATGTTGAAGGGAGTGAGCAAACAGCAGTGTGGTGCTTAGCTGCCTGCTGGGTTCAACCACAACAAAACGAAATATAGAATTACGGGTGCCTGTCTGTGCATATGTATCTGTTGTATCATTAATGTTTTAGTTTCAGAAATATATTTCACATATTTTCTGAATGAATTCTCCAGACTGTTCTCCATTACATAAGACTTGATGCATATTTTAATACTTTGCTCCTGTTTTATAGACGGCTATACGACAGACGACATTGAATTTTACTGGCGTGGTGGTGATAATGCAGTCACAGGAGTCACAAAGATTGAACTGCCACAGTTTTCCATTGTAGACTACAAGCTTATCACCAAGAACGTTGTTTTCTCTACAGGTTTGTGGATGGGAAGCTAAAAGGGGAATTAACTGGGAAAACTAAAAATGGTCTAATTCTCAATGTGCAGTTCAGGGTCTGAAAATTTTAGCAACAGGAGTAAATCAGAGCAGCAACTCTGAACTCTAAAACAGAATTTTAAAACAAGCTGATTTTATTACAGCTTCACAATCTGTTCCTCATTAATCTATAAAAAGAATACAACAGACCGTTACGTTAAGACTTAGTCAGATTTTCTGGTTTTCTGTGAAACTGACCAAGACACACACCCCTCAGCGCCTTAACTCCCAACAAGAAATAGCTCAGTTTGTAAGAACTTTTCTCTCCATTTGCAGGTGTTGTTGTTTTGTTTTTTTTTTCAATCCATGGTTGTGTTAGGCTAATTATTTGGTCTTCACCATAAAACCTTTCATATCATCCTTCCACAAGATTTGTAGTTTATACTATGCTAGCGAACATAACGCCTTTCTGAAGGCTGAAAAGGTGTTGTATAACAGGTTGAAATGACATTAAATCACTCAAATGAGTTATTTCTATTTGGTGTTCTCCACCTACTCAAGAAAGCTGATAGGTATTAGATTAGGAAGGAAAAAAAATAAGAAAAACAAAAAAAGCAAAACAAACAAACAAGAAAAACACATAATCATTTTTTAGATATAGACAGAAATCGTCTTGGGAGGAAATACAGAGGCACTGTGTATTCCAGATTCTTCAAAAGTGAAGCAGAAATGGGACTTGAATACATTATGATTTCCAGGTGCCCATTTCAATGAGTGCTTCACACACCACAATTTTTCTGCTGTTGGTGACAAAAGGGAAGCACTGCAATGCCTGAAGAGGTTAGAGTAAAGGTTACACTGAAGGAAGCATACTGCAGCTTGTCAGCAAAGAAACACTGTTATATTTTGATGCTGTGAAATGTGTTTTGACTGTTGATTTTTGAATATTATGGTTACCAGCAGAAATGAACCCAGTAGCTTCCTTGTACCCTTCAAGTAATAGATTAGTTAATCTCAATTCTTGCTAGAAACCCTACAGCTGATTATTCAGGGTCTTTCAGCTCTCTGTGTAGTCTTTGCTGCAGGAAGCAGTAAAACCGAAATGACAGGAAAATGTTTTCAGGCTTCATATGAGTAAATTATGGCCATACCAAATATTCTCTTTTAGGTGCCTACCCAAGGCTGTCTCTCAGCTTTAAACTTAAGAGAAACATTGGTTACTTCATTCTGCAGACCTACATGCCTTCTATTCTGATCACTATTCTGTCCTGGGTTTCCTTCTGGATTAATTATGATGCTTCAGCTGCAAGAGTTGCTTTAGGTAGGCATTTTTACACCTCTCATAGTATGCATTAGTTGAAGTGTTTTTCTTGCTTCTGGCATGGGGGATAGTGCATGGTTGGAAAAATAAATCTGTTAGATCTGGCTTGCAAGCTTTGTATTATTTGAATCAGTGTTTAAGTCATCCCAATTTAAATATAAATTAAAGTGATTTCATGTCTGGATTAGCTAACTGTATAATCATTGTAACCAGAATTAGCCTAATTGTCTGTATTCTCTGTTGTTGTTTTACTGCTTGTTCTTCTGTTAAGAGAATGCATTCAGTTTTCTTTTGCTTATGGCAGTTCAGAGCTGTGTATTGTAGAGTATAAATTGCTTTTTCTTTTGGGTATAAATTAAATAAGGTTTTACTTGGGTTGTATAGGTAATGAATATCTATTGCCAAATTCTGTATAAATCAGATCAATTCTTTCCAATTTTGTTCTGCTACAGATAAGTAAATTGCTGCAAAGGACAATTGAGAATTTGTCATTTTAACATTGTGGAATACTGTCAGAGTTTTGCCAGGCCTTTTTGTGTAGTATTTTATGATAAGAATTGTAGTCTACAGGCAGCATTGAAAATGCTGGAGGACAGCAAGATACAATGACTCTAGGCTGGTGATTTGTAACTGAGGCTGTTCCAGTAGGGTATGGTTCAGCTGGTTAAGAGCATACTTGTACAATCCAACTACTGTTTGATACTAGTAATTTTCTTTGCTGTACAAAATAATTTAAGACTAAGGAAGACCAAGGTTTTCTGTTTGTTTTTCTACCTGGAAAAAAAAAAAAAAAAAACAAATCTAGAATTATTTCCAGCACTAGCAGTTGATTATTTTGAGCTACAATGCTAGAACATTTAAAATAAGTTCAGTCAGCAGACTTATAATTATTTTTTTTATTTTTATTTTTTTCAGGAATCACAACTGTCCTCACCATGACAACAATTAACACTCATCTTCGAGAGACTCTTCCCAAAATCCCATATGTGAAAGCCATTGACATGTATCTTATGGGATGTTTTGTCTTCGTTTTCATGGCTCTGCTAGAGTATGCTTTGGTCAACTACATCTTCTTTGGCAGGGGACCTCAGCGTCAAAAGAAAGCAGCAGAAAAGGCTGCCAGTGCCAACAATGAGAAGTTACGAATGGATGTCAATAAGGTAAATTTAAATAGATATATGTTTTAGCATTGCCCCAAGACTACAGTAGACTTGCACTTCTGCCAGATAGAGCTTTTAAATGTAATTTCTGGTAGAAAGCAAAGTGGGGTTATTATGATCCTAGCTTTCTCCAGGGTCATGAACTTAGCCACTTCAGCATTGAATACTGCCCTCTAGTCTGGAAAATTGAATGTTTGTTTTCTAAAGCATGTGCTCAAATAAGTTTTACTGTGAGATGTTTTCTCAGTGGAATGTATGGTTAAATATTTCTGATCTGTTTGCGAAGGAACAAAACCAAAATGATGGCTATAGCTAATATTCTAGTAAGAGCTGTATGAAACATGATAAATAAAACTTAAATTTAACCTACTTGAATGAATCTTTCAAATGACCTGGATAAGAAATATTTTCTACAGAAGTGCTTAAAGCTTGGAAAGTTTGCATATTTTCAAAATAAAGTGGCCCAGAATGTTGATGACTAAATGAGAAGCCGCTCAGAAATAAAGTATCAACTTGCTGTGCACTTAATTCTGAATTTGAAAATGGTCCCCTGGGGAGGGGGAATTGAGGCAGAAAAGACGTTTGCCAAGATGCACACTTTTAGAAAACGTGTCCATTATGCTTAATGAAAATGAAGCACTTACCATAAAGCACTTGTCGTTTTTCACTGTGGCAATTTTGGATGAGTTTCATACTGTGGCAGATCTGGGTAGAATGCTAAAATGTACTCAGTGTGAAATGTATAAACTTTCACACACATGCAAAATTAGAAAGTTAACTAAAGTTAAATTCTCCCTCTTCATTTTTTTTTAATTGGAAGACTTTGTGTTCTGTGTTCAACATTATACTCCAAAGGAGAATAAACAAAATCAGAATTAAAAATAGTAATAATAATCTAAATCAGAAAATGATTATTTGTCAGTGGAAACATAAGTTTCATACAGCTCTGGAATTTCTCATGTTTGTTCAGAATTTCTGCTCTGTCATAATATGTCCAAGGACAGAGGATGAAAGTACAAAAAACATGTTGATATAGTATAACAGCTATAGTTTCTATAATGTATATAACAATTTTATTGGCTTTTAAGATAAAAGATTATATTTTCATGTGTGGGATCTCACCTGTTCAATGGTTTTCCTTTTCATTTAGGATAAATGTTTTAATGAATTAAGACAAATGCATAATGATTGTATTAATTTTGATGGTCTGATACCATAAATAATTCATTCTTCTTTTAACATTACAATGTTTTTGAAGACTGTTGTAAACCCCAAGTAGTCTTTTTCTTTCATTATTATTTCATTTTATAAGTAATCATTCATATTTATAAATAACAAGTATTTCATTTTTCATATATAATTTTTAACGATCAGTTTTCCTTTAAACAATCAAAACTAATAAGGAAGCCCAGTAGTTAATTTTATAAGAGTTGATCTGTATTAATTAGACCTTTCCTCTAACGTACATGGAAATCTAAGGTTCATACGTGCAGCATGTCGCAGAGCCCCTCGTGAGGCGTGTATTTAAGCACTGTTTTTGTGTTTTTTTTTTTTTTTTTTTTTTTGTGATATTCTCTCCACATACTTATTCATATGATAAGTCTATCAGACATATAATAGAATACCAAAGCCTACTGGCAAATTACTTAACACAAACTACGATTGGAAGGCACAAACTAGTACTAATCCAATCCAATAAGCAGAGTAAAATAATTTGGATGTCCATTGCAGGAGTTCACTAGCTCACAAAGTTAATAGGGAATATACTGGGAAAAACTTTGTACTATTTATATTTTTGAAATTGAGCCTTTGGGTTAATTTACCAGCTCATTATGGTTCATAATCGGTGGCAGTTTTACTTTAGTGTGCGGGTAACACTGATCTGCTAATAAAGTTTGCAATCCTTCGAGTAATAGGTAATCAAATAGGAGAGGAGAAAGGAGTAGAAATTTGTCCTACTGCGCATAGACTGCTTTGGGGAGGAGGAGATGAATTGATAGTTGCTCTTTATTGACCATCAGCAATAAAAAAAAAATTTATATTTAATGTATCTGAATATTTTCTTTCTGAAAGAGGACCAAATATTGTATAATAGTTTTTGTGCATGAGAGCTAGTACAGTAGAAATTTGTTCAGATGCAAGTTTCCATGAAAACTCAAGTATTTAGGAAAAGGACCAAATGAACATTCCATCTCTAATTAGGATGCAACATCAAAGGAGTAATTTTATGAAGTCTGAGTATTCTTTTGTGATATTACTAGATTCTTCATGTATCAGTAGATGGAATATTATGAAATTGTGCCTGTGGCTTCAGGGACAATTTGAAAAAAGGGTAAGAAACCTTAAAACAGGAGGAAAACTTTTCTATATCTCTATTACTACCTTCACCATGGACTTTGTAAAAACAACAGATGAATAGTTATTGGAACATGTAATGCAGCATCTCTGTGTATACATTATGCAACAGCAAATCTGTACAGGCTGCCCAGAGAGGCTGTGGATGCACCATCCCTGGTAGTGTTCAAGGGCAGGTTGGATGAGGAGTTGGGCAGCCTGGTCTAGTACCTGATTTATTGGTTGGCAGCCCTGCCTGAGGTACGGAGTGGTTGCAGCTTGGAGATCCTTGAGGTCCTTGCAACACAAGTTGTTCTATGATTCTATGGTTAAGCATAGATCTTGATTTACCTCTTGCATTCTGAAACTCAAGTAATGGAGAAATTCAAAGGAAATAAAATCAAGGAAAACAGACTCAAATACCAGCATATGTGCTATCAGAGACTCATTAAATCATATTGGACATGTTCAGTTTTCTGTGACTTTAGGTTAAAATGGCTCTGTATATAGCCATTCCACTCTTGAAACTTCTCAAGCTACATTCAGAAGTTGATTCCTTTATTCTAACTCTCATCATCTTTTGCTTTAGTCAAGGCTAATTGTTCTATCAACAGGCAGTTACCTGTTGCTTGAAGGTAAATTTATATTACACTGGCTTTTTTCTTACTCCAGACATCTTCCTGTTGTTGAAACTACCATTCTCATAATTTCCTCACCTCTTTTGAAGAAATAAGGATGGGCTTGTAAAAGTCTGTATTATACTTTCTTTATAGTCTTCACGTATCTTTTCTGTTCTGAAGGGCTTAGTACTGAAACTGTACATAAAAGGATGAATAATATGTATAATAAATATAGTGCAGAATATGTATAGTGTAATCCATGAGTATTTTGTTTTATTCTGAGATATTTTATTCACAATTTTTTTTTTCAGTTTCTATTTTTGGTAGAAATGTCAACAGTAATTGGCATTCTTTTGGTCTTTTGTAGGCACATTTCATGCCAAGACTACTTCAAGCTCAGTGCACTAATCTGGTATATCCTCTGTGGTACTTCCAGACGTTGAACAGATATGTTTTTAAAAATGTAGGGCCAAATTATAATCAGTCTTCATTAATGTCACTCAGTGGGATGTATTCTTTATGGTGATTGTACACGCACCTGTGTCTTGTTTTATTTTATGACAGTGTGTCAAAGGTGGTAATGAGGGTTCCATCTGCTAAACTGCTATACAAGTTAGTGTGATACAACCCTTCTTGTTTTTTCCTTTTTTGAAGTTTGATTTCATCTTCAAGAATATGATTAGCTAAATGTACAGCCTGCACAACAGCCATTTTAATATATCTAAATATGTCTAATTTCTTCTATTATAGATAAAGGAAAAAGGTTCTTAGTAAACTCTCTCAGATCTAATCTATTCCCTGTAAGTTTCTTTAAGAATCCAAGTCAAGGTTTTTTTCATTAATTTTTTTGTACTTTTCTCTTTCGTTTCCAGTAATTTTAGCTTATCGGTTTCCGTCTTGAAACTGTGGCTTGGATAGCCTTGGTGATCACACTTACGTGTTGGATGCATCTTCTCTTCTGTGTCTTGCTTAGACTTAACAGTTTGATCAACTCTCAAGTATATTTTTCTGCATTACTAAATTCCCATCTAAGCTGCTACTGTTACATCTTTTGGATTTGTTGTCTGTTGCTGTTCATCCAACCCATTTAATCCAGACTACTACATACATTAATCAACTTCTGTGGAGATGTAAGTAAGGTGAAAATGCTTTTTGGTATCAGTGAAATCTGTGTACCCATTATTCTGGAAAGGTCAGAAAACCTCCTTTATGGCTATCTAGTAATTTAATTGAAACCAGAACTATCACTGTAAAAAACATGATAAAACCTGCTTGGCTGAATGCAAAGCTGATTTCTGTCTTCTTCCACTGTAAAGAAGTGCACTTACAGTCTTGCCAGCTGTACATCTGACAAGGGTTTATTATAATGGAATAGCAGCTGTATACCATTCTCCTCCAAAGCAGCAGACACTGGAAGAGTGTCAGGCATCAGAGAGAGCATACTGGCTGTAAGTACTGATGTCAGTTGCTTCATCGTGGCTCTTGTTTTTAAAGAAGGGCTTCCATCTCTGTATAGAACACGTTATGAATCTTTTTTTGGACTTTGGTGTTCAAACATATCCAGGATACCAGAATGCTAGCTAGAAACAGGATATAGGACTTGGATTTTTTTAATCCAGATAGATAACCTAACAAAGGCATAATCAATTAGTGTTTTGTTGCATCTTGCCTTCCATTTCAAGTCCTATCTTCCTCATTTGTACCTGAGTTATACATGCTGTGTTTAAATTATTTCTAAATTATATTCATTTTTTTCTTTGTAGTTAGGTTAACTATGTTTAGAAAAGTGGCTAATGTAAATTAAAATTTCTTATATAAAATTTGTAATATTTATTCAAAGTAATTCAATTTGCCACTTCATAGAAGAGTTCTGCATAATTTAAGTACATCATTGAATGCAGCTTAGCAATGTTTACATTGCAGTAATAATTCAAACTTTGAAGTTTTCAGCCTAGCTTGAAGCAAAGAGTTGCTACAAGTGTGTACAGGCTATGTGCCTGAAATACGTGGTGGAAAAATTCACATGAATAAAATTTTACCTCTAAT